TCTACCCTCTGCTCCCCAGACGTCCGCCTGTATTTTATCTCTGCATGGCGCCATCCTCCTGGACAACAAATTCCAATGATGGATTTCTGGTTGATAGGCTCTCATTTCTAAGATGTAGTTTATTATCAGAATTTCTGAGTCCACACACCCATCACCTATCTTTCGTTTCCTCCCTTCGCCTGCTCATCTCCTTTTCTCACTCTTTCCTTTCAATCAGGTTCAAGAAGAATACGTCTCAATGCAGTTGACCATCTCTTTTGAATTCTCACCTTCTCTCTCACCCTCTCCATCTCTCTCGCTCCCGCTCTCTCTCGCTCCCTCTGCTATCTGCGGGCTGAAAGAGTGAAGACTGACCCTCTATCAGGAGGAGATAGTGGGTTTAATCTCACATTCCTCCCGTGTCTCCCACTGTCACTCTGCATCCTCCTCCCACAGTTCCCCGCCCGCCAGGCCGCCAGCCCAGGGGTCAGCAGGGGTCAGGGTTACCCTCAGTAGAGTAGATCCACCGCTATGCAGCCCTTCATCTCTATCTCTGCTTAGCCAAGATTGTTTTCTGCTGCGTTCTCTCCTACTATAAAGAGACCAATTATTATTAATAAACTAGTGGTGCTTCCAATGGATGGGCAATTCATTTGTCTTTGCATGACTGTTGCGATCATGTACTGTGTAAAGATTCAACATTAACAGCCTAAACAATTCCAAATACCCAATTTACACAGCTAACTATTGTTTCATTTTCTGTGATTGAGGTACACTTATTACCAACCTTTCTGCTTGATAGGCCTCAGTAGGGAATATTATGTGTAGGGGATTGGACAAAGGGTTACCTGATTCAGCCAGAACAGAAAAGAGACATTCAGTGTTGATGTGTTGGTTTCATGGTAGTATGCCGTGTGCTGTCCAGTTAGTGTGACCTCCTCCCTGTCCCCTCCCACCTCAGACCTGTCCCAGTGGTGGTGTCATGCAGCCTGCAGTGGCATCTCTGGAGCCCTTGGGCTCTGCCCCTCATCACATCATAGGGTGACTTGGCACCACTCGCCTGGCCTGGCATACCTGCAGATCCATGCCAAACCTGCCTGCTCTGCTCAGCCTTCTCTGAGCAAATGTGCTTCTTATTTGATCTTGCCAGATAAGCGATCAGTTTAATATGGGCCTACCCTGTAACACAACGAAACAAGCGTTCACTTTGAACACCCACACACACTGCACACTAGTGCACTCTCACACAACAAACATAGATCCTAGCTAAGATAAGGCCTGTTCTTTTTTGATCTGATATACAGGTAACTGCCAAAATAAAGGAAACTCCAACATAAAGTGTCTTAAAAAGGCGTTGGGCCACCATGAGCCAGAACAGATTCAATGCACCTTGGCATAGATTGTACAAGTGGCGTACTGCATTAGCATCGAACAGCCCCCGCGATATGCAACTTTTCAGGGAAGTCAGGAACCAATATACACAATCAGTTAGGAACGCAAAGGCTAGCTTTTTCAAACAGAAATTTGCATCCTGTAGCACTAACTCCAAAAAGTTTTGGGACACTGTAAAGTCCATGGAAAATAAGAGCACCTCCTCCCAACTGCCCTCTGCACTGAGGCTAGGAAACACTGTCACCACTGATAAATCTACAATAATCGAGAATTTCAACAAGCATTTTGCTACGGCTGGCCATGCTTTCCACCTGGCTACCACTACCCCGGCCATCAGCTCTGCACCCTCCGCTGCAACTTGCCCATGCCCCCCCCCCCTTCACACAAATTCAGACAGCTGATGTTCTGAAAGAGCTGAAAAATCTGGACCCCTACAAATCAGCTGGGCTAGACAATCTGGACCCTTTCTTTCTAAAATTAGCTGCCGAAATTGTCGCAACCCCTATTTCTAGCCTGTTCAACCTCTCTTTCGTAACATCTGAGATCCCCAGAGATTGGAAAGCTGCCGCGGTCATCCCCCTCTTCAATGGGGGTGACACTAGATCCAAACTGTTACAGACCTATATCCATCCTGCCCTGCCTTTCAAAAGTATTTGAAAGCCAAGTTAACAAACAGATCACCGACCATTTCGAATCCCACCGTACCTTCTCCGCTATGCAATCCGGTTTCCGAGCTGGTCATGGGTGCACCTCAGCCACGCTCAAGGTCCTAAACGATATTATAACCGTGATCGATAAAAGACAGTACTGCGCAGCCGTCTTCATCGACCTGGCCAAGGCTTTCGACTCTGTCAACCACCGCATTCTTATTGACAGACTAAATAGCCTTGGTTTCTCTAATGACTGCCTCGCCTGGTTCACCAACTACTTCTCAGATAGAGTTCAATGTGTCAAATCGGAGGGCCTGTTGTCTGGACCTCTGGCCGTCTCTATGGGGGTGCCGCAGGGTTCAATTCTCGGGCCGACTCTTCTCTCTGTGTATATCAATGATGTCGCTCTTGCTGCTGGTGAAGCTCGGATCCACCTCTATGCGGACGACACCATTTTGTATACATCTGGCCCTTCATTGGACATTGTGTTAACAAACCTCCAAACGAGCTTCAACGCCATACAACACTTCTTCTGTAGCCTCCAACTGCTCTTAAACACTAGTAAAACTAAATGCATGCTCTTCAACCGAACGCTGCTTGCACCTGCCCACCCGACTAGAATCACTACTCTCGGCGGGTCTGACCTAGAGTATGTGGACAACTACAAATACCTAGGTGTCTGGTTAGACCGTAAACTCTCCTTCCAGACTCACATTAAGCATCTCCAATCAAAAGTTAGATCTAGAATCGGCTTCCTATTTCGCAACAAAGCCTCCTTCACTCATGCTGCCAAACATGCCCTCGTAAAACTGACTATCCTACCGATCCTTGACTTCAGCGATGTCATTTACAAAATAGCCTCCAACACTCTACTCAACAAATTGGATGTAGTCTATCACAGTGCCATCCGTTTTGTCACCAAAGCCCCATATACTACCCACCATTGTGACCTGTACGCTCTTGTTGGCTGGCCCTCACTACATATTCGTCGCCAAACCCGCTGGCTCCAGGTCATCTATAAATCACTGCTAGGCAAATCCCCGTCTTACCTTAGCTCACTGGTCACCATAGCAACACCCACCCGTAGTCTTCGCTCCAGCAGGTATATCTCACTGGTCATCCCCAAAGCCAACACCTCCTTTGGCCGCCATTCCTTCCAGTTCTCTGCTGCCAATGACTGGAACGAACTGCAAAAATCTCTGAAGCTGGAGACTCTTATCTCCCTCACTAACTTTAAGCGTCAGTTGTCGGAAGCAGCTTACCGATCACTGCACCTGTACACAGCCATTCTGAAATTAGCCTACCCAACTACCTCACCCCATATTGTTATTTATTTTGCTAATTTGCACCCGAGTATCACTATTTGCACATCATCTTTTGCACATCTATCATTCCAGTGTTAATACGAAATTGTAACTATTTTGCACTATGGCCTATTTATTGCCTTACCTCCATAACTTACTACATTTGCACACACTGTATATATATTTTCTGTTTGTATTTTTGACTTTATGTTTTGTTTACCCCATATGTAAACAACTCTGTGTTTGTTTTTATCGCACTGCTTTGCTTTATCTTGGCCAGGTCGCAGTTGTAAATGAGAACTTGTTCTCAACTGGCTTACCTGGTTAAAAATAAAAAAATAAAAAAAACAGTGTCTGGACCTCTATTGGAGGGATGTGACGCCATTCTTCTATGAGAAATGTGTGTATTCGTTCATGCGTGTGTTTGTTGCTTTGTGTGGGTGGGGATCATGAGCGTTAGTCAGTTTTAAGGAAACGGGCTGGATGGTGAGATGATATCCAGGACAGGTCTCTCTTAAAGAGATCTCACTCATTAGATTATCAATGTCACTGGGCTGTGTGTGTGTCATATGGAAATCCTGTCATTTGCATCTCTTGAGAAAGAGGCATAAAATATATTTTAAATATATTCTGTCTGATATGGATGTTGGACTTTGGTACACAGCGTAATACTGTTTACTGATGAGCTGATCAGGTTTCTTTCGATTGCTGGGAGTTTGTGGTTCAGTGAACATGTCCTCATCTCATGGCAACTGAGGTCAATGTGTATTTTCTGATTGGATCAGACACATTTGATATAGTTCCCCTCGTTTGATTTGATCACAAATTGATCAAATTCTGATGATATTTTTCAGTCAAGAGTCATAAGATTAATAGGTTACACCTGATATGTAGTGATGATTTGCTGGTAACAAACAAGTTAGAATAACTTCAGAATGACAAAGCTTCAACAAGGGAAAGAACATCATGCTTTAAAGTTACACCTTAGTTGGAGTGATACTCCTCCAAACCATCTTCTGCCGAGCAGACACTACTGCAGAAGCAACTCAATTTACGCATCGCTTTTGTTCCCCTCTCTTCCCCCTCCTGTCTTTCGCGGAAACGAAGCCTAGAGGCATGATCCTAGAAGGAGCGGAGAGTTCAAAGCGTTATCACGTGCGGAACGTCTTTTCATCATGTTTTAGAAACAAGCGTTAGCACTAATCCCCCAATAATCTCTCCAGGAGAACTCAAACGATAAGGCGCGCCACCCACGGCTTGCAAACACACTTTTGGGGAGTCTCTCCCCCTCACTGCTCTGTCGTTCCCTAGGAAGGACGAGTGAAGGTGAGAACCTTCTCATTCTCTATCTAGCAGTGTTTGTTTACCTCCTGGTAAATCTCTCCAGTTGATCTGAAATTATCAACAGAGACGGTCTATGGCAGCCTTCTGCACTCCGCCCTCTCAAATTAGATCTTAATTAAAACAGATGCTCCAGAAGACCCCAAATCTGTAATTTAGCACTTGTCATCCTCTTGATCGCTCCTGAATGTCTATGATAATAAAGTGCACTACACTAACTTAATCTTGATGGCAGATATGTTGAGAGCACGTCCATGTATACTTTCATTGGCAACAAGGCCCTGAGGTTGTGCTACAGAGCTGAGAGCTCACCTAGAGCTCACAGGAGGACCAGATGACTAAATCCTTCCTCAGGCACTTCCACTATGGCATCTCTGCCTTTTACTCTGTCTTCCTGCCCCTGCCAGACACTGAGAAGATGTTGACTAGTGAAAGGGAATGGACCAAGAGGTGGACTATGGTATGGGCAAGTAGAGAGGAGAAAGATCGAAATGATAGGAAAGACCAATGGCAAAAGCCAGCAAAAGGACGACGGCAGTGCCAGAGAGGAAGGGAGAGGGAATGGAAAGAGGTGGGAATGGAGAGATGGAGTTGATGGGGAGGGGGTGCTTATACTCATCACTCAGTCCTTGTGACTGGGCTGGTATCTGCAGTTTGCTGTCATCTGCGCTGGCTTCTGCGGGGCGGAGAGTAAAGGAGAGAAGGAAAACCTATCTCCGAGGCTCATCTCCGGCATTCTGGAGCCCGCTTTCCAAGAGTGCCTCATTTTCAAATCTGTTATCTCGCCTGTTAAGTATCGCAGTTGTATATTTTTACATGTCATTTGCATGCAGCTCATCAAACCTGGATTATTTTTTCTTGGCGGTACACTACATGACCAAAGGTATGTGGACACCAGCTCATCGAACATCTCATTCCAAAATCATGGGCATTAATATGGAGTTGGTCCCCCTTTGCTGCTATAACAGCCTCTACTCTTCTGGGAAGGCTTTCCACTAGGTGTTGGAACATTGCTGCGGGGACTTGCTTCCATTCAGCCACGAGCATTAGTGAGGTCGAGCACTGATGTTGGGCGATTAGGCCTGGCTCGCAGTCGGCGTTCCAATTAATCCCAAAGGTGTTGGTGTTGAGGTCAGGGCTCTGTGCAGGCCAGTCAAGTTCTTCCCCACTGATCTCGACAAACCATTTCTGTATGAACCTCGCTTTGTGCACGGGGGCATTGTCATGCTGAAACAGGAAAGGGTCTTCCCCAAATTGTTGCCACAAAGTTGGAATCACAGAATCGTCTAGAATGTAATTGTATGCTGTAGCGTTAAGATTTCCCTTCACTGGAGCTAAGGGGCCTAGCCCAAATCATGAAAAACAGCCCCAGACTATTATTCCTCCTCCACCAAACTTTACAGTTGGCACTATGCATTCAGGCAGGTAGCGTTCTCCTGGCATCTGCCAAACCCAGATTTGTCCGTTGGACTGCCAGATGGTGAAGTGCGATTCATCACTCCAGAGAACGCGTTTCCACTGATCCAGAGTCCAATGGCAGCGAGCTTTACACCACTCCAGCCGACGCTTGGCATTGAGCATGGTGATCTTAGGCTTGTGTGTGGCTGCTCGGCCATGGAAATCCATTTCATGAAGCTCCCGACTAACAGTTCTTCTGCTGACGTTGCTTCCAGAGGCAGTTTGGAACTCGTAAGTGAGTGTTGCAACCGAAGACAGGCAATTTTTACGCGCTTCAGTACTCGGCGGTCCCGTTCTGTGAGCTTGTGTGGCCTACCACTTCGCAGCTGAGCCGTTGTTGCTCCTAGACGTTTCCACTTCACAATAACAGCACTTACAGTTGACCAGGGCAGCTCTAGCATGGCAGAAATGTATGACCAACTGACTTGTTGGAAAGGTGGCATTCTATGACAGTGCCACATTGAAAGTCACTGAGCTCTTCAGTAAGGCCATTCTACTGCCATGTTTGTCTATGGAGATTGCATGGCTGTGTGCTCGATTATATACACCTGTCAGCAACAGCAGAATCCACAAATTTGAATGAGTGTCCACATACTTCTGTATATATAGTGTATATGCAGATGTGAGGCTGTGCATGAGCACACCAGTATAAGGGAATGGGTTTCAGTGTGTTTGCTTGTTGAGTATGAGAGTTTTTGAGTACAGTAAGCACATGTATTAGTGTATTAATGTGCGTATTTATTTGTGTTAGAGAAATGTTGCGTGTGCAGTGTGCGTTCGTGTGTGTGTTTTGAGAGAGCATGTGTGTGTGAGAGGCGGATGTTGAGTAGGTTTCTGATGTTTATCTTCCTTCCTTTTCTTCTCTGTATTTTTGGAGGATTCACACAGGGACCTCTTTGTTTGGGACAGTGAGTACCCCCTTCATTCCCCTTTTGGGAAAGAAACCATTTCCTGAAGGGGAGCGATAGAGATAGAGGGGCAGACAGAGGGGTAGGAATGAGAGAGGGAGGTCGAGGAATGGGAAAGAGAGAGGGATGAGAGAGGGCGTGATTAGCCATACAGTACTGCAGAGAGGGAGGGATGGGAAGATTAAGCAAAGGGGAAGAGGTAATTGGGAGGAGGGGGTGAGAGCGAGAGGGAAAACAAGTATGAATAAAGACCAGGCCAGCCCCAATAGTCAGGAGGCCTATGGTGGAATTCAGTGGAAGTCAGTTGAACAGGCCAGGAAAGGACAGACACTATTCTACCTTCCTGTTCTTTTCTTCTCTGTCTGTCCAGCTGTGTCCGCTTCATACAGTACATTCAAACACACTTGGATGACATCATTATCCAGGATGCACACATTGAAATAGAAGTTCATTATTGACCAATCATTCCATTGGGTTTCTCATGATTCCACAGAGAACAGGATTCTATAATTGCTTCAACCACCAGGGAATATTCAGCAAATTATGGTAGCAATGATGTCTATGCAAATGAAAATCTATGTGGTATGAAGGCTTAATCTTCTAATCTACTAGAGGATGGGGGAGGCATTTTCTTACTTCCTCTGCTTTAATTGAACCGTATATTAAGCTGAATTGATCTGAGTCAGGGTTAGACTTGGGGTTAGTTCAGGGAAAGGTTTCTTCCTTCATTTCCAACCCCCAGACGAGCGTGTCTGGGGAGAATTCTATATTCCTTTTTATACTCAGCAACGACGGGGCTACAGAATGAACGAATAGAGAAATGAAATCAGCCGAGCATCATTTGCATTAAAGTTTTATCGGTGTGAGAAGAGGGCGTTTTTGGGAGTGATAAGGAGAGGGAGTCGTGGGCTGCGGTGAGTTGCATGTGCACGGAGGCTGTGTGTGTGTTTGTGAGTTGAAGGTGGCTATGGTGAGGCTGGATGGTGTGGGGAGTGGGGCTGGTGGTGGTTAATATCAGACCAAATAATTAGATTTGCTATCGTCTCGGCGGCAGCAGTGCGGGGATCAGGCAGATTAAAGCCCGGCTGGGCTGATTAATATTCATGAGGGACGACGGTCCGGAAGAGGGGGCTTAGACTGCACCTCAAAGACTCCCTCACTGAGGGACTTGAAGCGCTCTCAAAGTGCCTGGATCCTAGGGAGACCGCCAGGGTGAACACAGGCAGCGCAGAGCAACATTCACTTCTCTTAGTCTTTTAGTCCTCCTCCTGCTCCCCCTCCCTTGTTCTCTCCCTCCTCCTTAGAAAGTGTTTCAGTTAGGGATGTTGGCCACTTCATTGTGGGATAGTTTACAGCACTAGTGGTGGAGTGTGCTTGTTAGCAGGTGGTATGGTTGGGTGTGTATGTTCAGAGGTAGGGACTTGCCATTTGATTATATGTTTAATTTCTTACTGTAATTGTTGAAAATGTCCTCCAGGCTATGGAGATGTGATACTAGAGGCTTCTCTGCTCCTCTTAACTCAATCTTTGGCGGCCACAGCCTCTGTTGGCTTTGTTAATTACACATCCTAATCAAACTGCAATCTTGCCACATGCCTTTTATTTTTCATTATCTCTCTGTGTGTTGGTTCCAGCCATCATTCAAGTCCCAGCCAGGGCCCAAAGCCAGATCAGAGCCAGCTAAACCACCATCTCCACCTCATCTTCTCTCTGCTAGTCTATGAGAATCTTTCAGGGAGAGATCGAGGAAGATAGAGAGCATTTTGCATTTGTTCATACTGTCCAAAACTCCCAACTGATTCTGTTGTAAGGTTTTATTTTTCTGTCCTATATACAGTAGTCTTGTGTGAAATGTTCTGGTGAAATTTCCTCAAGTCGGACCACACTGGCCTTTTCTTCAGTGAATACCAAAGCATCGTGATAGATTTGTGATAAATTAGTCTGAAACAAATTAGCAGCACTTATAGCTCAGACGGCTCCAGCATTGGGTTACAAACTAAAACAAAAGAATCCGTATCTCTACATCAGCGAAAGTTCCCCATGAAATACAATACGCAGCGTCTTCAGGCTAGAACAGACCGATTCATAAATAAACCCTTCCACTGTCCTCCCTTGCCTTCCAACTCACCCCATATACCCCCAGTCCTTTTACACACTTCAGTTTAAACTCGTACCTCATATTCTCTCAAAGTTTCAGTCCATGTGTTACCATGTTGGAATATGTGTACCAAAGTATCCTCTGTAGCAAGCAGACTGACTGACTGCCTGACTGACTGACTGTGGTTGCTGCCACCTAGTGGAGACAGAGTGTTCTAGAACCGATATGTCCTCAGGCCTCCATACAGTAGTAGGGCTGCTATTGGCCTTGTGCAACTATACTATACGGTAGTTGTGGAGCTCAACCTAATGCTACTGTGTTTATGGTTTTATTACACAATCTCATGAATTTATCATTGAGCCTCACAAAGAAGACTACATTTTAATGGGACTGCTATAAGATATTTGGTTATGAATGCACTCTGCTTAACTGTGCCGTAACACAGCGGTACATAGATGAGTGTGTGTCCCATGCAGACACACGATAAGCCTGTGGGAGTGATTGTCAGGTGGAATGCTCTGTGAGCCCCAGCTGAACAAAGACAAGATTGTGCTGAGGATGGCACAGGTGTGTGTTTCTCTCTGGTCTGCCCTACCCTGGCTACAGCAGCACTCGCACATGTGCAGACACTGACACACATTCTTCAACACACACAGATAGATTATGACTCTCCTCTACTCACATACCTTTTGTCCCATCATGTATTGAGAGAAGCTCCTGAGATGGCGTCCGGGTGAATAGGAGCACTACGACGTCATCGGATCTCCTTTCTTACCTTTTCTTCTCCTCTCTCCTGGGGTCTCTCTGTTCCTTCCCTCTCTTTCTCCATGCCCTGTCTATAGATCTTTTCTGTGAGTCTTTGTTCAGCCTGTGCCCTCTTCCTCTCCCTCTATGCTTCTGATTGCCCATGTTAAGGGGCTGCACCTTACTGCTGGAAAAGATGAGTCCCTTTATTGTGGAGTATATTCAATGTGCTTTAATTATTGAACAGTATATTCAGAGGACATTGTCAGGATTAATTCATTGGTAAACCTCACTTTTCAGTAGGTCTTTGTCTGTATAATGTTCTGTATAAAAATAGGTTTGTCAGAAAAGACTTGGAAATGTGTGTGAGAATCAGAAGATACATGATAATTGTTATTTGCTGCACCTCATTCTGTATTGACAACGTGACCCTGTGTTTCCAGAGGAAGTCTGACTGTCTCTGTATGTTTATTTGTGTGTCTACAGATCTCCAGGTTGACACTGGTGTGTGAGGACGCAGACTGCTGGCTCAGTAGAGTCCTGTTAACCTCCGATGCCACAGATACCAACTGTACCATCTACAGCCAAGGTAGTTACCCAACAGACCCAATCCCTGAATTCTACAAACTGCCCAAACAATCAACACAGCACTCATGCAGATAATGCACCATTTACATTGTTACATTTTAGTTCTGGTGCTCTTACAATCAGAGGTCTGTTATTAGAGTGAGACCAGAACGGAGATCTTTTGACCTACTATAGATTACTATACATTCCATAGAGACCATACTGTACAATACCATCTGTGTTTCGGTACATGCCCCAGGTGTGACGTGTGTTGTTGTGTGTGACTTGGTGTCTTCTCCCTAGGTGAGGAGCTGTATTGTAAGGTGACCCAGGACATCTCCACAGGGGACGGTCTGCTGGCTACGCTGTCTACACCTTCTATGGAGCAGCTGTCCCCCTCTCAGACCCAGGGTGTAGCGGTGAAGGAGGAGCCTACAGGTGTCTACCCAGCATCCCTCCACTCTGAGATACAGCTACTCCCCCAGCAGGCTGGGATGGCAGCCATCTTGGCCACGGCAGTTGTCAACAGTGAGTGTCGGAGTGCTCAGGATAATAATGTGTAATAATGTGTTCTTTTTATGTGTGTGTCTTGTGTGCTTTCGTACATGTGTAAGCACCCAGGCCGCCAGTGTCCGGTCTGGAGCGTGAAGTCACGAGCTCTGCTGGTCGCCTACTGCGTAGAAACCTAGCGGTGCCAAAAGCCCTGTTCTGCCCTAGAAAGCCTATGTAAATTACGATCGCCAGAACGGCCAAACATTATTTTAAAGTTCGCTACAAATCGAGATATTTAATTAAATAGTGACCTATTCTGACTACTACATTTGTCGTCACACAGGACCACGTTCTGACACAGACCAATCACGGGCCGGCATGCTACGAGGAGGCTCGCGCCCTCATACCATCGACATTAAGGGTGACTCTCTCAGGCAGGATGAAATCAAGTACATTGACCATGATCCTTTGCTAGTTACGGCCACTTTCCCTATGATCCTTAGCAATTTGTTTGTGCCATTCAGCCCCATTCAGCAATATGGCGCGCTTCAAATTCAAATACTTCCGGCTTCATGCGCCATCGGGAGTTTTCCATAGGAATGTCAGCGCAATCACCATCTACTGGTTTTGATGTCTATGGTGAGCACATGCAAATGTGTATGTCTGTACTTGTGTCTGCAGTGCTATTTAGTCATTACATGCATAGCACAAAGCATTGTCAGTTACTGTATATACTGTCAATGTGAACAACAGATGCTGAGGGACTCAATGTTGCAACCTAGATAAATGCAAGTGCAACAGTTCACCATGCCACATTTTCTCATTCACCCAGTACACCACAAGGTGGCAATGTAACTCCTCTGTAATGCCTGGTCTCAGAGGTAGACGGCATTGTAATTGCTTTCACGCTTCTTCATAAAGTCCCCTATTGGCAGTGTAGTCAGCAGCGGGAGCAGGCATGGACATGCTGTGATGAGTGCATGATTAATCACCACAAATCAAGCTAAAGGGTAAAACATGATCAGCCGTATCCCCGGTTCCTGCTGTAGAAGCACTGTGCTGAGGACTGTGGGTAATTATGGACGTTATCAAAAATAGCCTGTTTAACATGAGCCCTGACACCAGATCAGTACGATTACCCCGCGCAGGCGGGGCGCTCGCTCCCACAACCTCTGTGCTCTCGTTGCCTTGGAGACCACGGAGCAATATCGAGTGTTTTTCCTCGTTCCGCCATTGAATCGATCATGTGACGCATGTGAATGTGTGTGTGGTGATGTGTATACACATCAGTGACGATGATGTATACATGTAAGTGTCTATGTAACGTTTTAATGTGTAAGCAGATCATATGAAATCATTTTCTTTTTTTTTATGAATGCACTGCTCTCGTGCATTGTTTATGTACTGCTAATTTGATAAGTGATTGGTTGTTGCAGGGATACAGTTAAGTTGTTTGTTTGCTTGGTCCAGAGGACATCTTTCCGTGTAAGGACTGTGGGATCTGGTACCGCAGTGAGAGGAACCTCCAGGCCCACCTCATGTACTATTGTGCCAGCCGGCAGAAGCAGCAGTCCTCCTGCTCCCCCCCACAGGACAAGCCCAAGGACTCCTACCCCAATGAGCGTGTCTGCCCCTTCCCACAATGCAACAAGAGCTGCCCCAGCGCCAGCTCCCTGGAGATCCACATGCGGACACACAGTGGTGAGAACTGTCACGTCTCTAACAAAACATTACTTTAGCTTGCTCTCAAAGCAAAGTTTGAATATTTGTGTAAATATTGCACCTTTAATAGTCAGTTATAACAGTAGGACCCTTTCTCTCTTTGTATTATTAAGGTAAGCAAGTCTACCGGTCGTCATTGTGTGTTAAAGACCTACACTAAGTGTACAAAACATGCTCCTTCCATGGCATAGACTGACCAGGTGAAAGCTATGATCCCTTATGTATGTCACTTGTTAAATCCATTTCAGTCAGTGTAGATGAAGGGGAGGAGACAAGTTAAAGAAGGATTTTTAAGCCTTGAGACAATTGAGACATGGATTGTGTATGTTTGCCATTCAGAGGGTGAATGGGCAAGACAAAATATTTAAGTACCTTTGAACAGGGTATGGTAGTAGGTGCCAGGCGCACCGGTTTGACTGTGTCAAGAACTGCAACGCTGCTGGGTTTTTCACGCCTAACAGTTTCCTGTGTGTATCAAGAATGGTCCACCACCCAAAGGCCATCCAGCCAACTTGACACAACTGTGGGAAATATTGGAGTCAACATGGGCCAGCATCCCTTTGGAATCCTTTCAACACCTTGTAGAGTCCATGCCCTGGGTGCAACTCAATATTAGGAAGGTGTTCCTAATGTTTTGTACACTTTGTATGTTAGCGTTAGACACTTTCTTTTTTATTGACCTGTCTCTCTTGTGTTGTATCCTGTGTGCCAGCAGGTGAGCGTCCCTTTGTGTGTCTGATCTGCCTGTCGGCCTTCACCACTAAAGCCAACTGTGAGCGTCACCTGAAGGTGCACACGGACACGCAAAACGGAGTGTGTCATGGCTGTGGCTTCGTCTCCACCACGAGGGACATCCTCTATAGCCACCTGGTTACCAGTCACATGGTTTGTCAGCCCGGCTCACGCAGTGAAGTGTACTCCCCAGGCCCTGGCCTGCCCAAACTGCCTCTGTCCACAGGTAAATACATGGACAGACTGACATTTTTTGTTTACTATTGCAGTGAGAGGATAACAGCACTGCCTCTACTTACATTTACATTTACTTCATTTAGCAGACGCTCTTATCCAGAGCGACTTACAAATTTGTGCATTCAACTTTTGATAGCAAGTGGGACAACCACTTTTTTTCTTCTTTTTTTATGGGGAGGGGGCGGGTAGAAGGATTACTTTATACTATTCCAGGTATTCCTTAAAGTGGTAGGGTTTCAATTGTCTCTGGAAGGTGGTCAGTGACTCCGATGTCCTGGCGTCGTTGGGGAGCTTGTTCCACCATTGGGGTGTCAGAGCAGCAAATAGCTTTGACTGGGCTGAGCGGGAACTGTGCTTCTGTAGAGGTAGGGGAGCTAGCAGGCCAGAGGTGGATGAACGTAGTGCCCTCGTTTGGGTGTAGGGTCTGATCAGAGCCTGAAGGTAAGGAGGTGCCGTTGCCCTCACAGCTCCGTAGGCAAGCACCATGGTCTTGTAGTAGATGCGAGCCTCAACTGGAAGCCAGTGGAGTGTGCGGAGGAGCGGGGTGACATGAGAGAATTTGGGAAGGTCGAACTCCAGACGGGCTGCGGTGTTCTGGATAAGTTGTAGGGGTTTAATGGCACAGGCAGGGAGCCCAGCCAACAGCGAGTTGCAGTAATCCAGACGGGAGATGACGAGTGCCTGGATAAGGACCTGTACCGCTTTCTGTGTAAGGTAGGGTCATACTCTGCGAATGTTGTAGAGCATGTACCTGCAGGATCGGGTCACCGCTTTGATGTTAGCAGAGAACGACAGGGTGTTGTCCAGGGTCACGCCAAGGCTCTTTGCACTCTGGGAGGAGGACACAATGGAGTTGTCAACCGTGATGGCGAGATCATGGAGCGGGCAGTCCTTCTCCGGGAGGAAGAGCAGCTCCGTCTTGCCGAAGTTCAGCTTGAGGTGGTGATCCGACATCCACACTGATATGTCTGCCAGACATGCAGAGATGCAATTCACCACCTGGTTATCAGAAGGGGGAAAGGAGAAAATTAATTGTGTGTCGTCTGCGTAGCAATGATAGGAGAGACCATGTGAGGATATGACAGAGCCAAGTGACTTGATGTATAGAGAGAATAGGAGAGGGCCTAGAACTGAGCCCTGGGGGACACCAGTGGTGAGCGCATGTGGTGCGGAGACAGATTCTCGCCACGCCACCTGGTAGGAGCGACCTGTCAGGTAGGACGCAATCCAAGAGTGAGCAGCACCGGAGATGCCCAACTCGGAGAGGGTGGAGAGGAGGATCTGATGGTTCACAGTATCAAAGGCAGCGGATAGGTCTAGAAGGATAAGAGCAGAGGAGAGAGAGAGTTAGCTTTAGCAGTGCGGAGAGCCTCCGTGACACAGAGAAGAGTAGTTTCAGTTGAATGACCAGTCTTGAAACCTGACTGGTTTGGATCAAGAAGGTCATGCTGAGAGAGATAGCAGGAGAGTTGGCTAGAGACAGCACGCTCAAGAGTTTTGGAGAGAAAATAAAGAAGGGATACTGGTCTGTAGTTGTTGACATCGGAGGGATCGAGTGTAGGTTTTTTGAGGAGGGGTGCAACTCTCGCTCTCTTGAAGACGGAAGGGACATGGCCAGCGGTCAAGGATGAGTTGATGAGCGAGGTGAGGTAAGGGAGAAGGTCTCCGGAAATGGTCTGGATTAGAGAGGAGGGGATAGAGTCAAGTGGGCAGGTTGTTGGGCGGCCGACTGTCACAAGTCGCAAGATTTCATCTGGAGAGAGAGGGGAGAAAGAAGTCAAAGCATAGGGTAGGGCAGTGTGAGCAGGACCAGCGGTGTCATTTGACTTAATAAATGAGGATCGGATGTCGTCAACCTTCTTTTCGAAATGGTTGACGAAGTCATCCACAGAGAGGGAGGAGGGAGGGGTAGGAGGAGGAGGATTCAGCAGGGAGGAGAAGGTGGCAAAGAGCTTCCTAGGGTTAGAGGCAGAGGCTTGACATTTAGAGTGGTAGAAAGTGGCTTTAGCAGCGGAAACAGAGGAAGAGAATGTAGAGAGGAGGGAGTGAAAAGATGACGGGTCCAAAGGGAGTCTAGTTTTCCTCCGTTTCCGCTCGGCTGCCCGGAGCCCTCTTCTGTGAGCTCGCAATGAGTCGTCAAGCTACGGAGCAGGAGGGGAGGAACGAGCCGGCCGGGAGGATAGGGGACATAGAGAGTCAAAAGATGCAGAGAGGGAGGAGAGGAGGGTCGAGGAGGCAGAATTGGGAGATTGGAGGGAGAAGGATTTAGCAGAGGGAAGAGATGATAGGATGGAAGAGGAGAGAGTAGCGGGAGAGAGAGAGCCAAGGTTGCGACGGCATATTACCGAGTGAGTAGTGTTGGAGGAGAGCGAGAGAGAAAAGGATACGAAGTAGTGGTCGGCGACTTGGAGGGGAGTTGCAGTGAGATTAGTTAAAGAACAGCATCTAGTAAAGATGAGGTCAAGCGTATTGCCTGCCTTGTGAGTAGGGGTGGGACGGTGTGAGGGTGAGGTCAAAAGAGGAAAGGAGTGGAAAGAAGGAGGCAGAGAGAAATGAGTCAAAGGCAGACGTAGGGAGGTTAAAGTCACCCAGAACTGTGAGGGGTGAGCCATCCTCAGGAAAGGAACTTATCAAGGTGTCAAGCTCATTGATGAACTCTCCATGGGAACCTGGAGGGTGATAAATGACAAGGATGTTAAGCTTGAATGGGCTAGTGACTGTGACAGCATGGAATTCAAATGAGGAGATAGACAGATGGGTCAAGGGGAAAAGAGAATGTCCACTTGGGAGAGATGAGGATTCCTGTGCCATCGCCGCGCTGACCAGATGCTCTCAGGGTATGCGAGAACACATGATCAGACGATCAAAGAGCAGTAGGAGTAGCAGTGTTTTCAGTGGTAATCCATGTTTCCATCAGCGCCAAGAAGTAAAGGGACTGGAGGGTGGCATAGGCTGAGATGAACTCTGCCTTGTTGGCCGCAGAACGGCAGTTCCAGAGGCTAGAGACCTGGAACTCCACGTGGGTCGTGCGCGCAGGGACCACCAGATTAGAGTGGCAGCAGCCACGCCGTGTGAAGCGTTTGTATGGCCTGTGCGGAGAGTAGAGAATAGGAATAGACAGACAAATAGTTGACAGGCTACAGAAAAGGCTACAATAATGCAAAGGAGATCGGAATGAAATTAACTAAGCATCTGGGAAAGCGAGAGAGCGGGGCCTCCCTCACGTTTCACTGAAACACTCAAATATAACTCTCCCAACTTCCACTTTAGATTAATAGACTTTAGTTAGTGTCTGGTCTATTAGCGATGTTACCAAACAGACTAGTTCTGTCTCTTACCTCTAGTTAGTGTCTGGTCTATTAGCGATGTTACCAAACAGACTAGTTCTGTCTCTTGCCTATTTTTAGCGTCTGGTCTGTTAGCGATGTTACCAAACAGACTAGTTCTGTCTCTTACCTCAAGTTAGTGTCTGGTCTATTAGCGATGTCACCAAATCAACAGTGATCTAATGTTATGTTTAATAGTAGGAAACGCATTTCTAATAATGTGTGTCTCTGTCTCTCTGTGGCAGGTCTAAGTCCAGGAGACTCTGGTGTTGTGTTGAAATGTCAGATATGTGGCCACATCACAGACTCACCCGGCCAGCTCCAGCAGCATGTCCGCACACACCTGGAGGTGAGGGTCCCAGCAGAGAGGAGCCCCTCACCCCGCCAGAGCACCCCCTCCTCAGCTGACCACCCTGAGCCCCCCGCCTGCGTACCCCACCCTGACTCCTCCAGCCCTGGGGCCAATGGGAGCTCAGCCACCCCGCGAGGCTGCAGCCCACCTGACCACCTGCCCACAGACATGAGGATCAAAGAGGAGCCACGCTCAGACTCTGAGAATGAGGGGCAGGAGGAGACGGACCGGGAGGGGAAGAGCCGTGGACACACAGGGGCAGGGTCTTCTCAGACCACCTCCCCCAGGAGTCCCTCTGCTTTGTCCGTGAAGGCAGAGCCAACCAGCCCCACCCCTGGCTCCAGCCCTGCCCACCTGGGAGGACCTGGCTCAGTGCTGCCTGGAGGAGCTGTGTTCCTGCCACAGTACATGTTTAGCCCAGAGGCAGCCATCCTGCCCCAGGCCTCAGAGATCCTGGCCAAGATGTCTGAGATGGTCCACAGCCGGTTGAAGCAGGGCCAGGTGTCCCCTGGGGCAGCGCCAGCCTTCTATCCCGCAGGCACTACCATCACTGTCCACAAGGGGGCCACCTGCTTAGAGTGTGACATCACCTTCAACAACATCAACAACTTCTATGTTCACAAGAAGCTCTACTGTTCCAGCAGGCACCAGCAGGGAGACGTGGCTGGCCAAGTGAAGGAGGGGGCCTCGGGGGTCACCGTCCCATCTGTCAGACACAGTTCATCCCCTCAGGCTGCCACAGGTAGTCGGGCTGCCTCAGCCTCCCCGAGTGACTCAGACCCTGTTCCAGGCAGCACCGGCACAGAGGGCAAGCTGGTGGAGGTGAAAAGTGAGAACCCTGGGTTGAAAGAGGCTGTGTCATCCTCTTCCTCTGAGGGGGAGGGTGGTGGAGGAGGAGGCCGGGCCAGCGAGGGCAGCCAGAGCCCCAGCGGCTCAGCAGAGGACCAGGAAGAAGACCCCACCAGGACCTTCTGTCAGGCCTGCAACATTCACTTCAGTCGCCATGAGAACTACACGGTCCACAAGCGCTTCTACTGTGCCTCGCGCCACGATCCGTCCAACCAGAGGTCAAGCGCTGGCAAAGCCACCTTCCTGCCTCAGCCCATCCGCACGCGCAAGAGGAAGAAGATGTATGAGATCCACATGGCTCGGACTGAGGCCCTGGCCAACGCTGCTGCTATTGCCTTTCCCTCTGCTCCAGGCCTGGGCCTGGCTGTGAAGCAGGAGGATGCTGCCTCATCGGGGAGGGTCCTGGAGGCCACTGTCCCAGCCCTGGCCCTGGGCCTGTGTCCAGCCACTTCCCGTAGCACCAGCCCTGATGGAGACGGCCCGATCGACCTGAGTAAGAGGCCCCGTCTGAGGGACACCCCACGGGGCAGCAGCATCCCTGCTCTGCCCCTCACTGACTACCACAAGTGCACCGCCTGCAGCATCAGCTTCAACAGCATTGAAAACTACCTGGCCCACAAGACCTACTACTGCCCAGCCACCACCCTGCAGCCCCACACCCTGAAGACGCTCCACAGGCTGAAGAGACCATCCTCCACTTCCCCCAAGAGCAGGGCCCTAGAGCGGCCAGACCTTCACCCAGAGGCCAAAGGGCTCCCCACAGAGAAGGCTCCTCAGAGGGCCTCGCCCAGCCCTCACCCCTCAGCCTTACCTGGATCTGAGGCTACATCCCCTCACAGCGGCCCTGCAGCCAAATGCCCAGGCTCTCCCCCTGTGGTCTGCCCCTACTGCCCTCCCAATAGGGCGGTGACCTGTGACCTGGTGGAGCACTTCAGATCCATGCATGGCCTGGTCCTGAACCTGGAGGGCCAGCCAGCTGTTATCAGCCCCAGCCTGAGCCCCAAGGATGGGACCCCCGCCACCCCGCCCAAACTGGGCCTCCAGACCCGCAGGGACAGCATCAACAGTCGGGTCAGAAGGGACACTGTCTCCCCCTCCTCTCCCCTGGTGAACATTAGCCCCCTGGGTCCCCATGCCAGTGGTGGCAGCTCCCCCAAAGCAGCCCCTCCTGCTGTGTCTCCCACGAGGTCCCTCCCCCTGACTGTGTCCCCTGTGCCTGAGGTCCTGAGGGAGGTGGGGGTTATGAACCACCAGGCTGCTGTTGCTCTGCTTCCAGACAGGGCAGCCCTCACCCTGGGTCTCCCACTCCCTGTCGCTGTCCCGGCCCCTACCACACCTAAGACCCCCCTGGTCTCCCCTGTGCAGAACTGTAACACCCGCTTCTGCCGGCTGTGCAATATCAAGTTCAGCAGCCTGTCCACGTTCATAGCCCACAAAAAGTACTACTGTTCCTCCCACAGCGCTGAGCACGTCAAGTGAGCATGCCTGTCTCTGCACAGTGTTCCCTTACAGCCCAGCCCCAGCTATTCACCCGTGTCAGTGCTACCACGGCATGGCACCACGTCTGGACTGTCTGAAGTAAATGTGACTGTTACTCGCCAGGCACTGTTTAGCTGCTCGGACGTTGACGCTTCCGGTATTGTTACTATGGTAACTTATTTCTTCTTATGGGTCAAAGTTCGTATTACACTAAGAGCGGAGATGCGCTACCTGCACACACAGTTGTGCCCACCTTCCCGTCCCCACCACCTCAATACCTGTTCCGTAGCCCTCACCCTCCCCTCTCACCTCCAGGGTTCACAGAATGTTGATAATGACTTTTAGATCCAACATTTAATCTCCTGAGCAAGCTTAATTGAATTGTTTATATTACAGTTGTCTTGATTTGATTATGATTGTTTGAAGCATTTCTTGCTCATGACAACTTGCTTTTCCTGTGCCGTTGATGCTCATGACCTGTCAGTGAGTGGGGACAACTGTTGTCCCTCGGAGCCCTCTAGTGGAGCTTACAATCTCCACCTTTTTATTTCTACTTACCTATGACGTTTTAAAATAATTATATGGTTTTGTTTGAACACTGGCTCTTTTGCTAACTAGAAAGCTAAAGCATTTTAGCTGAATTACAGGAATGGGTGTCACAAGGTTACCAATTACAGATGAAATATTTGCAAATGGATAGATTAGTTTTTCCTAAACCACAATTTTTATGTTCTCTTAATGCAAGGGAAAGCATGGGAAATATTTATCTCTGATTTCATGTCAACAGAAAACTACCTAGCGTCTGAAAATATTTGTTTTTTTTATTTGTATTGTTTTCATACTGTTCGAAGGAACTGTTTCAGTCTTGGTGTGTAAAAGTGTTTTGTAAGTGTAGATATGTAATATCTTTCACAGTAATCACTGGGATGACACTGAACCTTATTTTCATTATTGTCAGCATTTCTTTCTTTTGTTCTTTATTCATCGGTGAGGTTTGAAAAAAACTGTTTTCCTCCAGTATTTGGTCATTAGCTATAGCCTATTTTTCCAGAAACAATTTGAAGTAAGTTTTAATACTGGTGCTTTAAATTTGGGTAGAAGAAAGATGACTGGACCTGAGTACCAGGATGAAGACACATCACTTCCTGTTCCTATAATGCCCTTCACAACTCCGCCCCTCTCCCCATTAGACCTGACCTTTAACCCACCAACCTCCTACTGTATCAACATATTACATCCGCCAATCTGCAGCTGCTGATACACCACCATCTTTCTATGTGATGCTTGAATTAGACATGGGATCCGTTCAAATCTATGTTGATTAATTGACACCTGTTAGTGTGTGCTTGTTCTATTGTGTTTTTCCGGTAATGAAGTAGAAAAAACGGGAGAAGGTGTAAGAGAGATAGGCAGGGACAGCAGATGTATTTCACAGATTGTAGAGAGATACACACGGTAGATAGCTCCTATAACTGTCATGTTTAAAACACAAACACACATACATCCCTGGTTTACAGAGTGGTGTTGAATAGACCTGCGAAATGCAATCTTTCCTCAGTCAGAACTGGCTATACTGGCACAGCCTTACTGTAGAGTTGAGTTAGTTGGTCCTGTGCTCCACTATCCTAACCTCTCATGATGATCTAAATGGATCGGTTTGTTACTTGTGGTGTTCCCTTCCCTACTTTTCCCTGTGTTACACAGGCAGATGTTTCTCTGCTCTAAAAACTGGAAAACTAAATGGCAGTGAAAAGTTGAGTATTTTTGCTCTGTTGTGGTTTTGAACAGTGCTGTATCAGTCATATCTTACTCACTAATGTTTACAATTGCATTGCTTTCTCTTTTCTAAAAGAGATTAGCATTTTCAACAAGTCACAAATCGAGGAACTCAGTGCTGAGAACCATTTCGAATTTCCCCTTTATTGCACTGTGTCGTACAAATGTGCTGAATGTTTTAGTTTTAGAGGCTTTTTTGTAATGTATTTATGTTTTTACAGCACTTTTCCTCCTCCAAACTCATCCCTTGAAGGACTTGCTGATCAATTTAAACCTTTTCACATTAACTAAAATGAATTGAAAACATTTTGTGAATGATTCCAAATGTCAATAATGGAAAAGTAATAATGAATGTCAGATCTTTTCTTTTTTAAATTTCAATCTCAAATTCCACTACACACTTGTCCAAACTATGCATGGGAAATAAACGTCCTGAGAGACATTAAAGAGTGTCAAACTTCTATTTTCTTTCACATTTGATTGACCTGGTCCACCCACACACTAGACCTGCCATTTTACCTCTTCTCCTCATTGTACAGTGGCTTGCGAAAGGATTCACCCCCTTGGCATTTTTCCTATTTTGTTGCCATACAACCTGGAATTAAAATGGATTTTTGGGGGGTTTGTATCATTTGATTTACACAACATGCCTACATTTTACATTTTAGTCATTTAGCAGACACTCTTATCCAGAGCGACTTACAGTTAGTGTGTGCATACATTATTATATATATTTTTTATTTATTCATTTTAATAAAAAATAAATAATAATCATACTGGCCCCCCCGTGGGAAACGAACCAACAACCCTGGCGTTGCAAATGCCATGCTCTACCAACTGAGCTACATCCCTGCCGGCCATTCCCTCCCCTACCCTGGACGACGCTGGGCCAATTGTGCGCCGCCCCATGGGTCTCCCAGTCGCGGCCGGCTACGACAGAGCCTTGATTCGAACCAGGATCTCTAGTGACACAGCTAGCACTGCGATGCAGTGGCTTAGACCACTGCGCCACTCGCCAGAGCCAGGTAAGGGTGAGGGCTGGGCGAGGCCCCCACTTTGAAGATACAAAATAAAAAAATTTGTGAAACAAACAAGAAATAAGACAAAAATCTGAACTTGAGCGTACATAACTATTCACCCCCCCAAAGTCAATACTTTGTAGAGCCACCTTTTGCAGCAATTACAGCTGCAAGTCTCTTGGGGTATGTCTCTATAAGCTTGGCACATCTAGCCACTGGGACTTTTGCCCATTCTTCAAGGCAAAACTGCTCCAGCTCCTTCAAGTTGGATGGGTTCCGCTGGTGTACAGCAATCTTTAAGTCATACCACAGATTCTCAATTGGATTGAGGTCTGGGCTTTGACTAGGCCATTCCAAGACATTTAAATGTTTCCCCTTAAACTACTCGTGTGTTGCTTTAGCAGTATGCTTAGGGTCATTGTCCTGCTGGAAGGTGAACCTCCGTCCCAGTCTCAGATCTCTGGAACACTGAAATGGGTTTCCCTCAAGAATTTCACTGTATTTTGCACCATCCATCATTCCTTCAATTCTGACCAGTTTCCCAGTCCCTGCCGATGGGGAAAAACATCCCCACAGCATGATGCTGCCACCACCATGCTTCACTGTGGGGATGGTGTTCTCGGGGTGATGAGAGGTGTTGGGTTTGCGCCAGACATAGTGTTTTCCTTGATAGCCAAAAAGCTACATTTTAGTCTTATCTAATCAGAGTACCTTCTTCCATATGTTTGGGGAGTCTCCCACATGCCTTTTGGCGAACACCAAACGTGTTTGCTTATTTTTTTCTTTAAGCAATGGCTTTTTTTCTGGCCACTCTTCCGTAAAGCCCAGCTCTGTGGAGTGTACGGCTTAAAGTGGTCCAATGGACAGATACTCCAATCTCCGCTGTGGAGCTTTGCAGCTCCTTCAGGGTTATCTTTGGTCTCTTTGTTGCCTTTCTGATTAATGCCCTCCTTGCCTGGTCTGTGACTTTTGGTGGGTGGCCCTCTCTTGGCAGGTTTGTTGTGGTGCCTTATTCTTTCAATTTTTTAATAATGGATTTAATGGTGCTCCGTGGGATGTTCAAAGTTTCTGATATTTTTTTATAACCCAACCCTGATCTGTACTTCTCCACAACTTTGTCCCTGACCTGTTTGGAGATTTCCTTGGTCTTCATGGTGCCCCTTGCTTAGTGGTGTTGCAGACTCTGGGGCCTTTCAGAACAGGTGTGTATATATACTGAGATCATGTGACAGATCATGTGACACTTAGACTGCACACAGGTGGACTTTATGAAGGTAATTGGTTGCATCAGATCTTATTTAGGGGATTCATAGCAAAGGGGGTGAATACATATGCACACACCACTTTTCCGTTATTTATTTTGTAGAATTTTTTGAAACCAGTTATTTTTTAAATTTCACTACACCAATTTGGACTATTTTTTGTATGTCCATTACATGAAATGCAAATATAAATCCATTTAAATTACAGGTTGTAATGCAACAAAATAGGAAAAATCCCAAGGGGGATGAATACTTATGCAAGGCACTGTATCTCTTGGCTTTTATAATGCTTGCCGCAATAGATTTCAGGTCACACATCATTTCTCTTTTCATATAACTTCTTGTATGCCTTTCAGTGAATGTGCGAGCCTCCATACGTAAGAGAACTGAAGGAATCATCTCCACAGTGCCGACATGCTTTCTCTCGAGGACTGCTTGAATTATATTTCCTGTTAAAGAAAAGCATTATCCCCAAAGTCTCAAGGCTATGCTGATTTAGTACTAACAGTACAGTCAGTCCTACAGTTCTTATTTTATAACCAATAGGATGGAGGTTGTGGACATAATGAATGCTTTCATTTCATTTACAACTCCATTTCCCATAATACAGCAAGTTCGAAATGTGTTGACCACTGCTTAGCATAGCTAAAAAAGTTTTTTACTCAAAATTAGGGAAAAAATAATATTAACATCCTGAGCAGCATCCATATAATGTTTCAGAGAGCCAGCTTGTCGATTCCTATGGTCAGGACTCGGGAGTACTACAATCAGTATTTATAGCCAATCAACAAGCTCCTAAGCTTGATGGGCTATTTTTTTCTAAACATAGTAAAATCAGATGTATAGATTATGCAATTCAATTGTTAGCAGCATGAATAAACCAGTGTTATTAGATGAGTGGAACTCTTTGTGTAAATTCAATTCTGTCTTAATGACTTTTTAA